GGGGGGGGGGGGGGGGGGGGGGGGGGGTTGTTTAGATGAAGGATCGGGGATTGGGTATTAGTCCAATGCTAAGACATTGATCTAAACCAAGATACAGCAAGTAAAAGTGAAAGAACATAACTCTCAGATCTTTTTTCCTTCTTGGAGATTCTGGTGCAAAACAATGAACCAAAGTCCAAAGCTGATAATCGGAAAACAGCTGCATGTGTGTGGAAATCACCTTGACAATCCAAAACACAAGAACTGTTGAACATTAATAATGCAATGGCCTAATAAAAAGAGAAATGATATGCAATGGCAGATACTAAGGCCGCATAAAACAGTCAATTACATTCTCTTACTTTTTTTATGAACAGCAGCCGATAACATCATTCTTTGCTAAGGAACAGAAGGAGGTGTTGGCATGGGGCTGGAAGATGGAGTAGGAGGTTCCTTTCGGAGCTCCTTAACTACAGCAGCTAGTGCCTCAGGGTTAAGACCCAGATCACAGAGAGCAATGAGGACAGAGAGAGTGTGACGATCGAGCCCTGTCTCAAGAATGTTGGACATATGAAATGCCAGGTCCAGAGACTCTCGAGCAGTTCGTGCAGCCTCTGGATCCATACAAAGACTATCGACAAAAACCTTTATTTTTCTAGCAAGCGTGTATTCAAATCCACTTAAAGTTTCAAGTTAAAACCTGGAAATGGAAATAAGTATAGTAACAAATCAATCACCAAATTTCACACTATAATCAAGCAAGCCTATATATTTAAATTAATGAAGGATAATTTTTCAAGAAGAATTTAATAGGAGATGAATTTCTAGGGAAATCTTTAATAGTATATGGATATGGATTAATCAGCTTCCGGTAACCAAATCTGCTGAACAGCAAGGCAGAAATGTTTGATTGAGCTCCATGCATTCAACCACATGCAATTCAGAAAAATGTATAATAATTACTTAGTAAATACAATAACAATTCAGAAGATCAACATAGTTCATCTAATGAATGGACCAAGAACGATTGAAGTAAAGACATTGCCAATGATTATATGCATCAGAACTAAAAAAGTCACCCAAAAAAATGGCCCCAAAAAAAAAATGAAAACTTTAGCAAAAAGAACTGGGAATTTTTTTTTTT